ACCACACACACCATCCACCACACTCCATGGGAAAAGAAATCCAGATGCTTTTGTGAGTAATTTGTGATAAACCATGATGCATAGTGTTGTTTATAGTGGTGATTTGAATGGTGGAATACATCAAGCTAGACTCTTCTTTGATCCTTACTGTCCATAGAAGATTCTGGTATCTAATCAGCAGCCGGACAATGTTGGCCGTGCTGGTTGCCATGGAGAACTCCTGTTGTTCTGTAACCTTGGAGCGGAAGCCCTTGAACATGAAGATGTTGGGTGCCATGACAACAGAGACATTGTTGAGAGTCATTTTATTCTTGGCCTGATGGTCGATCACACGCTGGAAAAACTCCACTAGTGCCTGCGGAAGCAAACATAAATGAAGTTTAAAATAGAAATAGTCCAGCGTTCCTCATTTATTTCAAACTGAGCGTGCATCTACCTTCAGAGTATCCCGGTTGGCCTCAGGTAACAAAAGGACCAGCAGGTTCAAAGCCTGCAGCTGTTGCTTCTTTGTGGGGAGCTCTGTAAACACACACACACACATACAGAAAGGCTTAATGCAAGGTTTTTTCAGTTTATGTGTCTCATAATGTGGCTATAAAGCTCTTGTGATTAAGCAGAATACTTTATGAACAGATGGCATACATACTGTTGACAGCAATAAATGCATTGAGGTACTCCACAGTCAGCAGTGGATGGGGTAATTCCCTAATGAACAGCTTCAAAAGGCTAGCAGCATCGTGCTGCTTCAACTGTTGCCATGGAAACACCCCATCGTAGAAAGAGGACTCGAGCTCCTGGCACAGTGACTGGATTTGACACACACGGGCAAGCTTGTTACATTACTTTAACAACTTCAAGAACAAGTCATACCACTTATGCTAACAACCACGATGACAGGCTGGTAGCAGGATAATGTTATCAATGTGTCTGTAGTGGTGGCATTCAAATGCTTTAACCAACCTTGACTCTAGTGGCCGCTCCAGGGATCCGTAGCAGCCCCTCTGTGTCTAATCCGTCCTCCTCAATATGACTAATAAGCTAGAAATAAATGAGAGAGAGATCAAGGTTCGGTAAAACAAGTAGAAAGTGTTAGGACCACAATTTAGGTAATAATGATCGCAGTACACTGCCAGTCATCTCTTTAGATTCAGCATTCATTGCACTGTGTGTAATGTAAATTGTGAAATTCAGTAACATGCATTGATATGTTGCTGTTTGATCAGCTGCTATAATAGGATTTCCTCTATTATTGCTATAATGGTCAGTTTCTCACCCTTTGCAATATGAATGGCACTTTGGTTCCAGGAGCACGCCTCTGGTCCTGATCCAATAAAGTGGCAAGGGGGACACCAAATAAACCACTCTCTGCACAAACACAAATACAAATATTTAGAAGAACAGAAATATCTTCATATACTACATTAACTCGTCGTTATGTCTGAGTTTGTGTTTCTGTGCTTGCTGTGTTTACCTTCAGGTTTGTTTAGCCATCAGGGCTTTCCCTGCTGTATGTCTGTTATTATAGTGAGCGTGTGTGTGTGTGTACCTTTAGTCTTAACTTTGACAGCTTTGTGAGCCTTTAGGTCAATCCCAGCAGTGTCAAACAGAGCAGTCGACTCCACAAGCACCAGTCTACGCACCTGACCAACCATTAAAAACAGACAAAAATATGTAAGACAATGATTTTAAATAGTAGCAGCACTTCTCAACTAACTCATCCCTTACGGGCAAATTTGTCTCACGAAGGCTTAGCATAATGTACAAACAATGATGTGAAGCGTCCACAGATCAACATAACACATTACCTTTTTCATATCCAGAGGAGACAGATCTCCTATTCTGGTCTGACCTGTTTTATCTCGGAGCAGCTTAAAGTTCTGGAGAAGAAAAACAAACAGGGAGACAGAGGGGCGTCAGTGAATGTCGGCGGAAATATTAAAAGTAAACACTGTGCCAATTAAATTTCTGACTGTATTTACATTTACATTGCATGCTGAATGTGGAATGTATAATACTGAATTACTTGAATTGTATAATAGTGGAAACAATCTCTTATACCAGCTTGCACCACCAGAGGACACTACAGACCAGTGTTCAAACTGCTCACACACATGGGTTTTCTGCTAATATGCAACACCATCTGTATGCAATACTGTGTGCTCAATTAAAGCCTAACTGTACTGTTTAACTATAACTAACTATACACAGTCTATTCTAATGTATGTTAATGGATTTTACATTTAATGTTTCACAATATATCTTGTTTTTTATTACATTACAGGGCCAACACAACACAATAAAACAACCTGGCTAACCTTTAACTTGTCAACATAAGCTGTAGCCATGTAGATCTACTATAGAGCATAAGATTGTTATATTTCTGTTTTCAGATCTCTGCTTTTGCTATCTCTGCTAATCATTGACCTACAATACTGAATAAGTTATCAATACAAGTTCTAATATAGCCACTAAAGAATGCTTACAGGAAGACAGTGACCCAAAGTGGCTTTGCATATCAGTGCAAGTGTATCAGTATAAAGCTAAGGAAATGAATGTGCATATAGCTTTGAAGTATGTTTGTGTGTGTGTGTGTGTGTGTGTGTGTGTGCGTGTGTGTGTGTACAGGTATGTGACTCACCGGTAGTTTGTCGTCAGGTGAGTTAGGGCTAGTAGTGACTTTTAACCTTTGATGGTTATCCCTGTAAGTGAGCGCCTGCTCTGAAAAAGCCACTTCAACGTTCAGTTCTGTCTCTGTTTCTGTTGAGACACGGGGAAAAAAAGAAATAAAAGATACAGCTGTAGGAGAAGTGTAGTAAAAATGTGTTTATGTAGGTAAAGTAGAGTTGCATATATACAGAGACAGACAATTAAATGTGTTATTGCCTCAGGGTTTAAATAATTGCAGTAGAAACAGGAAGAAAGAGAGGCCTGCTGTCTTTTATGTACCCATAACTATTGGTAAATGAATCTACAGTTTAGGCTTTACCTGACTTTTCAACCCATTTTACAGTGATTTTATAATAGTTTATAACAAATCAGTAAGTGCTGTTGCGAAGTATGGTTGTCTATTGTATCACACTATACTGTGTCTTAATCTTTTCTAGTCTATTATTTCCAACATGTGAGCGTTGCTATGCAGAAGTTTATTTGGGCCTTAGTTTGTCATTCTCCATTCTGACTCATATGTGTGTGTGTGTGTGACTGTATAAGTATGATGCACATACCAGCTGAAGTGACATCTTTTTGTCCATTCTCACTTCCCCCCTTGAGTTTACTAGGCTCATCCCCCTGCAGCACAACACAAAGACACATAACAGTACAGCACACACACTGTTCAACATGTCACATATTCACCCAGTTCCCCCCTCCCTGTTACATTCTTCATGTTACATATTGTCTCGTCTGTTAATTAGTGGACAAACTGTATATCTAAGTGAAAAAAAGTGCAAGACACTTCAAAACTGTTTATTCTGCTGAATGGAGTAGTTCGGAGTAGCCGTAATACACTCAATTGCACTCAGTGCCTTAAACGGACCTCATTTTGCAACCACTTCCTTTGTGGTGAAAAAAAAAAAGGAAATGTCTAATTTGTGTTTTGTGGTTGAATGTTCAATGCATGTTATCAAAGTGAGAAGAGGACATGAAGGATCAGTGCTTACTGTGACACATTATAACAGACCTCAACTAACCCAACTCTACAAAGAAAATAATAATCAAAAGCTTTAAAAGGCGACAGAGAGATAGGTGAGAAGATCAAAAGCACTCTTATGTCTATCAAGTAAATATAAGGCTACAACCAGCAGCTGGTTAGCTTAGTTTAGTATAAAGACTAGGCTAAGCAGGGGGAAGCAGGTATTTGCTCCCCAATATCTCTATGTAAACACATCTGCCGGATCTGATGAGGTCGCAGCCCATACGCCAAAATCTAACTATATTATACTGTTGTAATAAACA